TGGCAGAAAGGGATCTAGGGGTCATAGTGGACCACAAGTTGAATATGAGTCAACAGTGTGATGCTGTTGCAAAAAAAGCAAATATGATTCTAGGTTGTATCAACAGGTGTGTTGTAAGCAAAACTCGTGAAGTCATTCTGCCGCTCTACTCTGCACTAGTTAGGCCTCAGCTGGAGTACTGTGTCCAGTTCTGGGCGCCACATTTCAAGAAAGATGTGGAGAAATTGGAAAGGGTACAGAGAAGAGCAACAAGAATGATTAAAGGTTTAGAGAACATGACCTATGAAGCCAGGCTTCATGAACTGGGCTTGTTTAGTTTGGAAAAAAGAAGATTAAGGGGGGACATGATAGCGGTTTTCAAATATCTAAAAGGGTGTCACAAGGAGGAAGGAGAAAATTTGTTACTCTTGGTTTCTGAGGACAGGACAAGGAGTAATGGGCTTAAAGTGCAGCAAGGGAGGTTTAGATTGGACATTAGGAACAAATTCCTAACTGTCAGGGTGGTCAAATATTGGAATAAATTGCCAAGGGAGGTGGTAGAATCTCCCTCTCCGGAGATATTTAAGAACAGGTTAGATAGACATCTGTCAGGGATGGTATAGACGGATCTTGGTCCTGCCTTGAGGGCGGGGGGCTGGACTTGATGACCTCTTGAGGTCCCTTCCCTTCCAGTCCTATGATTCTATGATATGAGAGTATTTTCATAGAATAATCAGATTAACAAAGCTGGAAGGAACCTTGTCCTCAAGACTAGTCCTCTGCATTCATCGCAGAACCAAGCACTATCTAGACTAGGGATGTTAGCAAGTAGTTGACTGGAGCATTGACTACTCACTTCCTCCACTCTGCTGCTCCTGGTTAGAGGCAGTAGGTTGGGGGGGAGGAGAACAGGAGCTGGGTGCTTGGGAGAGCTGGCTTAAAAGCTGGTTTCCCCCAGCACCATCTCTGCAGTGCCACTCTGCCTCTCTTCTCTCCCCTCCCCCGTTTACAGCGGACAGGGATGGCCGTGGGCAGGGACTGCTACTGCGGGCGCCGCCCCGCCCCGGCCCCCCCCTTGGCCACCATGAACAGAGGCTGCTCCGGCAGCAGCTTCTGTCTGCTGCAAACAGGACCTGCTGGACTCAGCACGAGCCGGGACTGAGGAGTCCCAGCTTGCACTGGTCCGGGATGCTATGCCTCTGCATTTTAAATTTAAAATGCTGAGTCGCAGCATGGGTGGCACGTAGAGTGGCATGCTGAAGCTCTGAAGAGTGTTCCTTACTAGTTGGGTTGTCAATACAAATTGTATCGACTACATGATTAGCCAGATAACTGCAATTTAACATCATTAATCTAGACCAGCGGTTACCAAACTGTCGATCGCAATCAACTGGTAGATTTTAGATGCCAGTGGGTCATGATCCTCTGGTAGGCTGTCTCTGGCTGCTCCTGGAAATGCTGGCTGACTGAACAAAAGCACATCTCTGCAGCCCCTGGAGGGGAATGGGAGAGGTAGCTCCGTGCTTCTGACTCCTGCATTGTGAAAGCAGCTTCCATTGGATGGGAACCGGCAGTGCAGCATGTGAAGACACCCTTTTCCCTTTCCCTTCCTGGGGCTGCACACAAAGGGTGCCTGAACTCAGCCAGCTAGCATTTCCAGGAGCAGCATGGAGCCAGGCAGAGGCAGCTTGCCTGAGCCCTGCTGCACTGCTGACTGGGAGCCGCCTGTAGTAAGTGCTTCCTGGCTGCGGTCTGCATCCCTACTCCTTGTGTCAGTCCCCAGACTCCCTCCCAGAGGTCACAGTCTTTGCCCTGTCCTGCACCCAACACTCTGCCCCACCCAGACTCTCTCCCAGAGTGTTGAAGTACAGGAAGGAGTGAGGGGTGTGAGCTTGAGGAGAGAGATTGGGTGCACCAGAGGGCTCCAGATTTGGGTAAACTCCCTCCCAGAGCTTTCACTTCTTGTTCCTGCACTCCAAAACTCTTCCCCAGTATGGAGCATCCTCCTGCACCCAAATTCCCTCTCAGAGCCTGCAACCCTCACCACCTCCAGCTTCCCAAATCCCTGCCACTGCCAGATGAAAGTGAGTAATGGTGGGGGTGAGTGAGGTAGGGGATGGGCAGGCATGGTCCGCGATGATCTCTAGATCCTTTTCCACAGTAATCCTTCCTAGGTAGTCATTTCCCATTTTGTGTATGTGCAACTGATTGTTCCTTCCTAAGTGGAGGAGTTTATATTTATCCTTATTGATTTTCATTCTGTTTGCCTAAGACCATTTTCTCCAATTTGTCCAGATACATTTTGAATTATAATCCTATCCTCAAAAGCGCTTGCAACCTCTCCCAGCTTGGTATCATCCACAAACTTTATAAGTGTGCTCTTTATGCCATTATCTAAATCATTGATGAAGATATTGAACAGAACTGGTACCAAAATGGATCCCTGTGGAATCCCAGTCTTTGTCTTTTAAGCATGACTGTGAAACGGCATAACAAGTGGATCTGTGAAAGCTTGGGGAGGTCCAGTTAAGATAGTGTGGGATTTTGGTGACACAGTACTGGTTGCACTATGTCCTTCTGAGTTGTGTAGATCTCAGCAGTAGGGATGTAAAATCCCATTTAATTGGTTAACTGGCTAAATGTAACTGATTAAAGAGGGAATGCCAAAGCTGGTCTGGAGCAGTCCCTGCTTATGGAGGGCCCCAGCTACCCGTGGACAGAGGCTACTCCACCACAGCAGCATTTGCATGCAGGGTGGACAACCAGAGCAGCCCCATCCACAGTGGGACTGCCATGGAGCTGGAGCAGCTCGGCAGGGAGCTTCTCTAGCCCCCAACGGTTAACCGGAACCAGTAAGCATCATCCATTAAGGGTGATGTATGCTTACCAGTTAACCTTTCACGTCCCAACTGTACAGAGCATACGAGTGATACAAGCTGAGAAAATCAGAAGAATAAAACTCTGAGTAGGTAACATGTTTAACATTGCTAGCGTTTTGGTAAACTATTAGGTGTATTGCCTCACAAATGTACCATACTGTATGAAGAGGTTAAGTAAACCACATTTTAAAGTATTTATCACAGGCCTGGGCAAAATACGGCCCGTGGGCCGAATCCGGCCCACACAGGCAGCGGGGAGCCCCACACAGGGCCTTGCCATGTACGAGGTTGCAGGGCTCCATTTGTTTCGAAACTGGATCGGAGGGGGAAGTTTTAGGAGCCATCCCGCCCCCAGCACATTTCCATTGGCTGGTTTCTGGCAGAAACCAGCCAATGTAAGCTACTTGTTAGAATAACAGGCAGCTAAGAAGAATCATGCCCCCTTTCTTGGGCTCAGTTATTTGTGAAGCACATGGCCAGGCAAGCAGGCAGGCTGGCTGGCTGGGAAACATTTTAAGCTCTGCAGGCAAGCAGGCTAGTTTGGCAGCTGACAAGTAAGTCTCTTGGCCATAGCCTGCTTTTGGTACTCCAGCCCTTTCCTGCCTCCTCCCCCCCACTCAACATACCCAAACCCTCTGTCCTCCTCTTACACCCATACCCCCTCCCAGGTCTGGCACCCAATCTCCTGCCCCAGATCACACTCCCCTCCTATCCTAGGTCACATCCCAAACCCCTGCACTCCAATCTCTTACCCTAAGTCACAACTGCCTGCTTTATCTCAACTCCCTCCCAGACTCCAGTCTCCCTCCTGCACCCCAGTCCCTTACCCCAAGCTCCTTTCTGCACCCAACCTCCATTCCAGACCGTGCATCTCCTCCATTAATATCATGGACGAGTGCAGCCCTCGACTACTTTCCAAAATCAGGGGTGGCCCCGATCAAAAATTATTGCCCACTCCTGATTTAGGATATGTAATTAAATTTACCATTCATCCTGATAAATGTAGTCCACGACCCACAAGTCTGTGTAGCGTAATTCATGACATCAGATATTACCCCAAGCTAGTCCTTAAGGTCTGCGAGAAGGTCCTAGAGGAATGGAGGTGAATAAAATAGTACTGGAGGGTGCATTCCTAAAATAAGCATTCTTTCTGCAATATTGATTCACTTCTGGTCCAAATATTACTTACGCAGTAAATAGAAACTGAAACAATTATCAGCAGTGTTCATTTTAGCTTCACTGAAATAAAAACTATTTTAAAATAGTTTTTAAGTATTTTGGGTCTTTTGTTGCTTCGGTTGAAGTCAGTGAAACTTTACTTTGCAGAGTTTTGTGCCTGATTCTTAGCACCCACGTATCAGGGTAAATCAGGCATAAAGTTTTGCCGGTATAAAGCTAGTATCAATCAGAAGAGAACCCAGGCCTTTCAATTTAAGATTTAAGAAATAAGATTGTAGTTCAAGTTTCCTTATTTTAAGCTATGATTGAGTTATTTAAAAATATTATGATGTGGAAATAGGTTTCCTGTTTAACTTCACACACTGCCTTTTATAAGTCTCAATTAGCAATAGTTTTCCTGGTTTTCCAGCTTGTCAGCAAAATGGTTGTTTCTGTTTTCATGTTTCACAAGCTGTTTGTTCTTTTCAGCCTGAAAGTAATTGTAGGTGGTTGTTTCTCTTATGTAATTTAGTGCAGTGATGATTTAATTGGAATTAGACCTGAATTTTTCAAAATTCAGTACAAACTGCTTACCTCTATAGTGTTTCTAGTTTCGATTAAGCTGAAAAGGTTGACTAAGAAGAATAATCAAGTTCTTATACTCCTCATGTGTCACTCCTGAGCTTATAGCACCATATCAAAAACAGGGATCGCTGGCATGGTCTTTTAATAAACTGAGACTCATTCAGGTATCTGGAAGCTATATTTTATGCTTTTAAAGGATGCTGATGTTGTTTTGAATCTGACTATACTAGATTGTAATCTTGATGTCAGAAATATTTTGTAGCCATAATCTTAAGGATATACATACTTTGTTTTAAAACCATCACTGTGTGTTTCTGACTGTGTATTTTTAGTTCCATGTTAGTTTTATTTGGTAAAACCAGACATTAAAAGTAACCATGTTTTTTGGTGTATTCACAGGTGAGTTGTGTAACCTCATAACTCTGGATGTAGCGCACAATCAGCTTGAACATCTTCCAAAGGAGATTGGAAATTGCACACAGATAACCAACCTTGACTTGCAGCACAATGAGCTCTTAGACCTGCCAGAAACTATAGGTATGTTAAGGTGGAGTTGGGGAGAGAAATTACTGTTTTCTAAATATTCAAGTCACTGAAAAATAAGAATAGAAAATCTAAAAATGAAAAATGTCCTGAAATTTTTCCTATAGAAGAGAGAGGAATTTTTCTATAGGCATTTTCACTGACAAGAACTCAAAGGAATGGATACTTTAAAAATGTAAACTTTCTCAAACCCAGACACTGTTAACCCTAATTACTTTAAAAGATAGTCTACCCTTGAAAATTATGTCAACCCAGCTATATCACTCGAGAGTGATATATGATTGATGGAGTTTAGACCACCTAAGTCTCCTTTTGATATTATTAGGTCAACAAAAGACCTAGCTACCTACTCTCAAGGCTCTCCTGTTGATGTAAGTAGTGTCTGTACTGTAGCTGTTTTGCGATAGCATATTAAGTGGAGAGTTCCCTGAGAAGTGTCGTTCAAACAGGAGGCTGAGAACAAGAAAATTATATGTTCTAAACCTGGCTCTGATGCCACCATTTTCTGTGATCTGGGGCAAGTCACTTATTCTCTACTTTAGGTTTTCATTTATAAAATAGGAACACTGTTTGCTTTTTGTTACATAGTGAAATGAAGTAGTGAGTAGTTGGTTAATAAAGCTATTTGCAGATGAATTGTGCTATATAAGTGTTAAAAAGTAGTAGTTTAAGGCAGTGATGTTAATAATTGTGTATTTGTGTATACGTGTAACTACTGAAATTTTTAGCAGTTACATGTTTACACGAAGAGAAGTAGCAGCGTCTTTGTAGGAGCCGGCATTTGCAGGGAGCTGGCTTGAAAGGGAGCTGGCTCTATCAGAGACATCAGTGTGGGGGCAAGAGAGCAGGCAGCTCCACAACAGCTTGGTGCTCTTGCCAAGCCATCTTTTAAGCTTGCTCCTCCAAATGCCCCTCCCGCCTGCCCCTCTACACTGCTGCCTCTGTGGGAATTGGGGGGAGGGAAGGGAGGCGGCTCCACAGGAGCTTGTACATGCAGGGAGCTGGCTTAAAAGCCAGTTCCCATCATGTACTAGCTCCTGCCCGTCCATCCCCCCCCCACACTGCTGCCTCTGATACAGAGGCAGCAAGAGGGGTTCATGTCTAGGGTTGGCAGGTGACCGGTATTGACCCAGACCGTCCGGTATTTTCACCACTTGTCCGGTAAAAAAAAATTCAGAAAATACTGGACACCGAAAATGTCCGGTATTTTTCTGACTTTTTCCTGGCCAGCAGGCGAAAATGCCAGACACCTGGCAATCCTACAACACACTCGGCAACTAGGCCCAGGCCCCTGACACCCCCAGCCCCCCGCCTCTGGACCCTTTGCTTACCTGGGGGAAGAGGGCTCAATGAAGAAAACAAGATGGCCGCTGGCAAAAACCCTAAAGACCTGAAGCAAGGGGAGGCAATGCCTTCCCTGGGTCTTAGTACTCAACCGCTTCCTATCCCTATTCTGACTACATGCACTTAAAGGGGACATGCTGGTTTTTTTTTTTATTTAATTTTATTTATAACTATTGTCTTCCCCTTTTTTCCCCCCCTCAATAATGGGAGTTTTTCCCCCCCCAAAAAGATTTTTTTCTTTGTGTTTTTTTTTGGGGGGGGGGGGGGTTCAGTATTTTTGGTTAAACCATCTGGCAACCTTATTCATGTCACCAGCAAGATGAACCGATAAGCCCAGGCTTATCAGTTAATTGCATAGACGAATACCCATTAACATCCCTAATTTAAGGTAGGGATGTGAAGGTTTAACCAGTTAATCGGTGTGGTCTGGAGCAGTCCAGCCGGTGCAGCCCCTGTCTGCAGCAGAATGGAAGATGGCATAACAGTCCAGAAACAGACGAGGGCGGCACCACATAGATCCCTTTCCCTTTAATCAGTTAACCAGTTAGCCCATTCAAGTACTAATTTATTCTTTGTTTTTTAGAAAATAGAATAGTTTGTTGGTGTTGGAAATGAGAAGTAAGAATATTAAAATAACGTGTTTTTTCCCTAGTTGGCTTCAAATTTTCATACAAATCTAAAGAATTTTCTTCTTAGATTACATTTCAGTTTTACAGATGATGAAATAAAACAAATTGTTTATTTTAAAAACAAAGCCCATCATGGTCGTAAACTTTCAGCCTTCTTGAGGGGACAAATAAAAGCTGTGCCACTTAAACAACTTCTAATATTACATAAGAAAATAAGAATGGCCGCACTGGGTCAGACCAAAGGTCCATCTAGTCCAGTAGCCTGTCTGCCGACAGTGGCCAGCACCAGGTGCCCCAGAGAGGGTGGACCGAAGACAAGGATCAAGCGATTTGTCTCCTGCCATCCTTCTCCAGCCTCTGACAAACAGAGGCCAGGGACACCATTTTTATCCCTTGGCTAATAGCCTTTTATGGACCTAACCTCCATGAAATTATCTAGCTTCTCTTTAAACTCTGTTATAGTCCTAGCCTTTACAGCCTACTCTGGCAAGAAGTTCCAGAGGTTGACTACATGCTGTGTGAAGAAGAACTTTCTTTTATTAGTTTTAAACCTGCTACCCATTAATTTCATTTGGTATCCTCTAGTTCTTCTATTATGGGAACTAATAAATAATTTTTCTTTATTCACCCTCTCCACATCACTCATGATTTTATATACCTCTATCATATCCTCCCTCAGTCTCCTCTTTTCCAAACTGAAAATTCCCAGTCGCTTTAACCTCTCTTCATGTGGGACCCGTTCCAAACCCCTAATCATTTTAGTTGCCCTTTTCTGAACCCTTTCCAAGGCCAAAATATCTTTTTTGAGGTGAGGAGACCACATCTGTACACAGTATTCAAGATGTGGGCGTACCATAGTTTTATACAGGAGCAGTAAGATATTCTGGGTCTTATTTTCTATCCCTTTCGTATTAATTCCTAACATTCTTTTTGCCTTTTTGACCGCCGCTGCACACTGTGTGGAAGTTTTCAGAGAACTATCCACGATAACTCCCAAGATCTTTCCTGATTTGTCATAGCCAAATTAGCCCCCATCATATACTGTATGTATAGTTGGGGTTATTTTTCCCGATGTGCATTATTTTATACTTATCCACATTAAATTTCATTTGCTATTTTGTTGCCTAATCACTCAGTTTGGTGAGATCTTTTTGGAGCCCCTCACAGTCTGCTTCTGTCTTGACTATCCTAAACAATTTGGTATCATCCGCAAACTTTACCACCTGACTGCTTACCCCTTTCTCCAGATAATTTATGAATAAATTGAACAGGATTAGTCCCAGGACCATTAATAGAACATTTCAGTATTATTTCTATGTGGATAATGAGGAAATAAATGGATGAAGGGATGAAGAATGGAGAATCATTTAGACCTTTTTAGCAGCAAATTATTGACCATGAAAATATTGGGCCTTTTTACCCGTAGATCTTTACCTGAATTGAGTTTACGTGGATGAAATACCCACTGTTAAGACATTTCTCCAACCGGAATTTGCTTTCGGTCACACAATTTGTAAGCATAGCTCTAAATTTAACTCTCATCAAAATTGACATTGTCATTACCAATACAGAGTTGTCCTAACTTCAATTTCCAGCTGAAATGCTGTCTTTGTTTAAGTCAACCAGTTTTTGTAAATTGTTAATGTACATTAGGGAAGGAATTAGGATTTTGGAAAGATCAAGCCTCAAGTCTTCCGAATGATTAAAGGTTAGAGTAGAAAAAGGTGCTGCCAACAATGATTTGGTATTGGAGAAAATGTATAGAAGGTCAATAAAAATGATTTAGGGCCTGCAATGATAGATTATTTCAAATATTTAAAATAGCAAATACAAGTTATTCAAATGCCTAAATGCTTTGAAGGATCAGGGCCTCAGACAGGAAAAGTTCCTGACAGTGCTTTTATGCTGTATTTCAGAGATTTCATGGGATAGATCAGCATTTTTCACATTGGGGGTCCAGACTTAAAAAGGGGATGACAAAGGTAACAGGGTTTTAGGGTAATGGGGTGGTCACAGTGTTGTCACCCTTATTTCCGCACTGACTTCAGAGCTGAGTGGCTTGAGAGCAGCGCTGTGGCTGGGCACCCAGCTATGAAGGCAGAGCCCCACCAACAGTAGTGCAGACGTAAGAGTGGCAATGGCATGCCATGCCATCCTTCCTTCTATGCTAATGCTTTCATAGCTGGGCAGATAGAAAGTGGTGGTTGCTGAGAATCCAGCTCTTCTGGCAGCAGCACAGAAATAAAGGTGGCAGTACTATACCATGCCATCCATACTTCTGCACTGCTTCTTGTGATGGGCTTCCAACCAGCAGCCACCATTCTCCAGCTGCCCAGCTCTGAAGGCTGTGTGCCATAGCCAACAGCACCGCAGAAGTAAAGATAGCAATACCACAACCTTTCTTATAATAAGTTTGTGACTTCCCAAGCATTCCTTTTTGAGCCAATACTCCTACAATTGTAACACTGTGAAATTTCAGATGTAAATAGCTGAAGTCATAAAATATATTATTTTAAAAAAATCTTATGATTGTGAAATTGACCAAAATGGACCATGAATTTGGTAGTACACTACTCCTTGCCTAGGATACGTGAAGCTAAGCTAGACAAAGCACTTGAAAATATACTGTATGAATAATTCTGCATTGTCAGAGGATGGTTGAGATGACGAGACCCTGTCTGTGTGAGAAAGGTGCACTATTTTAACTTAAAATCGTTTTTAAAAAATAGCGCAAATTCCTGTAAAACACTCTTGTTTCAGCTTCTTACATTGATTTGTAATTGATTTAAGATGAGCCAAAATAAATGTACATCGGGGTGGGCAACCTTTTTTTGTGTCAAGGGCCACAGGCTCACAGAAAAATCAGCAGGGCGGGCGGCAGTGTGGGCTGGAAAGCCAGCACAAGCTACCCATTGTTGGGGAGTGGGAGGGGAGAAGGGAGAGGAGCCCTGGGGGCTGGATCCAGGCAAGTTGGGGATTATATCTTGCTCCTGGGACTTGGGTTCTGCACCTCTTGTGTAC